AAAAAGCCCACAGTGACCTTCAGAGAGCGGCTACACCGTAAAAGTCCACCCTAAACCGTGTAGTGGAGACTTTTGCACAGCACTGTACATACACATGAATGTATATCTGAATGTACCTTTGAACACGGGCCACATGCGTTTGGTTTGCAGCAGGTTTGGGGTCACAGTGAGGACAGCATTGACAGGAACTCTCATTTGTAGCTTGTACAGATTTCTCTACGTAGACGCTGCATTGGAGACGTGCGTCATATCCAGCCGCCATGTTGCTCAGCAGCTCAGACTGTCATTTAAAAAGATTTGAATGAAAAACCAGAACTACAGAACATGCTGCACCAGGGAATATTTTACTGCTATTAGCAGGATGTCACAATCAACATGTTAATTAATGTAAAATATCTCAGCAGAGAACTTCACAACGCCTGTGCACCACTGTATTATTTACCTTAATAACAGGAGTATTATTGTTTCTATGAATAAAACAAACTGTGGCTTCCTGAACAACACGGCAGCTGTAATGACGCATGGCTGCTGTGGGCGGCTCTGTGGAGGCGAGTGGGCGCTGCCAGCAGAAGCAGTGTCTGCCACGAGCATTCCCGTTTTCCCCGGCCCGGAGCAGAACTCCACGCGGAGCGCATAGATGCTCCCACAGCGTGCTGCTCTTGTGTTACAGTAGCTCTGGGGACTGACCCGGCTCGTCGACCCGCTCTCTGATTTATGCATCACCTTTATACTTTCTGCTGTTCGAGCTGCTCCGCCCATTCAGCGCGGACGTGGCGAAGTCATTCATTCTGGCAAACATGCTGCAACATATGCAATATACAGTAGATAAATGTGTCTATTTTCTATACTGTGCTCTGCTAAACCACAAACGGCGAGAACAACAACCAACAGCTGCCACCATGCCTTCAAGCCAGTCGTTACTGGAAAGTGCTTCAAAGCCACTGTGTCCTGCGTTGGCTGTCGTGGGTTTTTGCGGATGCAGCTTTGTGTGCGTCACAGGAGGCTTGGCAGAGACCCCACTGAGCAGCAAGCTCATCCTATGCATACCCGTGATACAGGGAGGATAGGAAGAGGAGACGCACACCGGACGCCGCTGCGCCCACGGCCCAACCGACACGCCGGTGCCATACCATCAGACCTCCCCTGGAACACCTCGCCACCTCAACGAGAACTTCTCATACAGCTCATCCTCTGGAGCTCCGCACCGTAGACTGTTTGCTCAAACATAAAGACTCGTAAGCATTAACGACGTTGCTCTCTAAATGTAAACTCTGATTCTCCGATGTTCTGTTTCTGTGACACCGCCGCATGAATCAAACGATGGACGTTCTTTCTCTGTAGGATATTTAACAAAAAAGCAGTGAGGTGCATTCATTTAAATATAGCAAATGCATATTTACTAAGCCATAGGTTTTTCAGGTTGCATATTATTATTATGATTTTCTTTTTTGTCTTTTCTACTAGAATGTACATTTACAAAAACGTGAGATGATCAAAATCAAACCGACAATTTTGTCATTTCAGCTTAGCAAGCCTTAAGGGACCAACACGCGAGAGTCGGGATATGCTCTTCTTTTTTTTTTTTAAAAGTCGATAAATCTATTATACACATATATAATGAATACTTTGATGGAGTAAGTGTCATTCTTCTATGTAAAGGATATATAGATGTATATATCGCACCTGACGTTCCAGGTGTGTTCGTCCTGTTGCCAAATCGCCATCAAACACAGGTCACGAGTGCAGAACTGGGCACTTTGACTGGGACGTCTGCCACACCGTGATTTGCACAAAGACACCACAGAGTCTGTTTGTTGTTCAGCAATAAGTGCACTTCTGTACTGCTGTGGTGTTTATCTGTAAGTCGGCTGTCAGCGACTCAGTCTGTCTTCGTCGTTTCTTTTCCTTTTATCCATTTATGACGTATCGTTGTGCTGCTGCTTAATTGGCCAGCTCGCTTTCCAGGTCGAGGCGAGAGCTGCCGTTGGATGTGAATATCCATCTGTTGCCTGAATCGTTGTGTGCTGTGTTGCTCTAACAACACCTCTGCTTCGCTGTGCTGATCGTTAACATGGAATAACACGGAGGTCCGTTTATTATTTTAAGGAAGGGGTGGTGAGGTTAAAAACTGCATCACTGAAAAGCCGTCGTTATGGGACCTTTGGTGGAGATTCAGTTGGCTCTGAAATCCTCAGTGTACACAACATTTTCAGGTAAAATCAAGACAAAAAGCTCCAGTTGAAGCTAAATATAATTTCACCAGCTTCTAAAGCTTCTGCTGGCTTTTTACAGCTCTGCCTCTGTCATCATAGAGACATAAGACAAAAAGATTGGCCCCTGCCGTAGATGTTAAGCCTCTAACTATCTGCTGGAGTAAAAACAAAACGAGGTGACAGGCTGGTTAAATGTTGCATGTGTGGGAAAGTTGTTGTCGAGGAGGTTAGCTGTTTACGTTCCAGGGTGTAGGTTGGAGGTTTGCTGGTCGAGGAACCTTCTAAGAGATTACATCCCTTTAAGCTCTGCACTGGGTGGGCCTTTAGGTTGGACTGGGAGCCATCCACAACAAAAGCTCAATGAACAGCTCTCCTTATGCCTTTAATAGGTCAATCTTCATTTTGTCTTAAAGTCACCAGCAGCCTTCTACCTTCTCTTTTCCAACCCCAACATAAGTATAACGATGTTTACCCAGCGTTTGTCTCTCTTGAACTGAACGACTTCGGTCTGTTGAGTCTGTCTTGGCTTTTTTGTCTTGTTCCACGTTCTCTAACTGATCCAACAACGGCCACGCTGCACTGCAGCGGTTTCAGTGGCTTAACAGCTCTGTACCGAGTAGACCAACCCACACTCACCCCTGCTTGTTTTTCTGTTCATTTCTTTGTGAACTAACACGTTAAGGCTGGAGTAGGAGTCAAAGCATTCGGCTTGACGCAGTGATTGGGGGGAAAGAGCTCGCACTTGATGACAGTGCCTCCTCTGGTCTCTTAAGGCAGTGCAGAAGATGATCTCAGTGAAGGTGAAAATCTAGGCACTAAATTCTTTCATCAATACTAAAGTGGGCATGTTTATCAGATTACGTTGGTTGGACCAGACACGTTCCATCAGACACTTCACTTCAAATATACTTGTACATTAAGAAAAGTTGTGTATTTGAGTTTCACGGTGGGCATTTTAATGCATGGTTTAACTCTGATGTCCAGTGGCTACCTTTGGGAAGTTGTTGGGTTTCTCCTTTTAATGTTTCTAGGCTTGACCTGAAGGATCATCTTACTGCTGTGATGATCACACTATGCCCATAAGCTGTCCTGGTGTTTGGTCATGAAACTTGGATTTTTAAATATTTGTAACTTCTTTTTATCCATCTGTTCCCTTTTACTAACCTTATCAGGGCTGGGTAACGTATCCCAGCTACCATAGGGCGAGAGTCGAGGTGCAGGTCACCTGTGGGCAATTTAGATTCACCAATGAACCCCATTAAATACATGACACTGGAATGTGCTTGCTTGAAGAAGAATGAGTTTAAAACGGTAGAATTTGGAAACAACCACAGGTGCAGTCAAACGCTCTTCAGTATTCTCCTTATAGGAACACTTTGAATGGTGTGCAGAACCCATTTAGTTTGCAGAGGCTCGCTTAATGACAAACAATTCTGCACCAAGAGAGTTTTATACAATTCATTTGGTCCTCGGTGCTAGCGTCTGAGGATTCTTAGACACGAGCAGCTCCTTCTGGAGACTAAAAAGGGGCTTTTTCGTTGCCTAACACCAGTCACAAAACTCATGAGATCTCCCAGTTGATTTTAGGTGACCATCTGAAACCTCCGTGACCGTTCTGAAATCGAAGGCGCTCTTGGTCGGTCACTGTCCTTATAGTTGTGCAACCATTGGTCCGTGTCCAACCATGTAGAGACTGGCTGTAGATCTGTTCATTTGTCCCCGTACCCGAATCATCAAAGCGTCTTTGTGGTTGGCTGACCGTGAAAAGATGGCGTACAGTCGGCTCCATCAGCACTACAGCTGTTACGTGATCAATGCTTTTTGGCCCGTGGCCTTCATCGCGGTGATGTTTTCTGGAGTAAACCTGTAAGTCTTTTCCCTTTAACACAGTCTGACAGCAAAATGGGTCATCGCTGCTTTGGTCCTCATCACCATTAGCCTAGCTAAATATGGAGCTTTGTAAAGTGTGATTAACTCTGCAGAAGTGTCTGTTCTAACCCAACCATGGTCTTTATCAACGTTATTGAACTATTTGTTGCCTAAAACTAACCAAAGAGCTGGAGGAGGTGGACCATGTCCCATCTTACACTGCTGCCCTGCAATCTGGCTAAATCCAACCAAAGTGTCAGTAAAAGTTAAAAAGCCCCAAAATAAGCTGAACAAAAGTCTGAATCGATGTTGGATGCCCAGTGTTAAAGTCCTGGCCACCACACCTCCAGCCTTCAGACTTTGTAGCTCTTTCTGTCTCAACGGGCACTTGACTTTAACACGATACGAAAGGACAAAACTAAAACTCAACTTTAGAGAATTTGCATCACATTGCTATGAGACTGTGTTTCCTTCATACTTTTAAGTAGGAAGTGTTTGTTCAGTTATTTGGATCACCAACCATAGCAAGGAAACCTTCTGTACCTCATTTTGGAGACTCGCGTTCTGCTTTCTCTCTTTGTAGCTCTTAGTTAAATGGGGAGAGGTGCGCTGTGACGTATAGCCATGCAATCTCAAACCTCCACCGGTCAGTAGCAGCGTGGCTCAGCTGTTTGGTGACCCATTAAAGCAGAAGCACCGTAGAATATGCAGCCTTTGCACGTTTTACTTCGTGTACACGTCAGGCCTGTTTTCCTGCTTTGTGCGGATTGATGGATGGCCACAACAGGGAGGTGTCGTGAACTATGCCAGCAGCTTCAAACCATGCACTGACAGCTACAGCTGCGAATGTATCAGTCCTCTCAGAGTCAACATCCAACCCGAGCACAACCTGCATATCTCAGCCCAAACTTGTGTCTGCAATCGTGCAGATATCGCCCGTCTCTTTCTCTCAATATGCAAAGCCGGGCTCGGTGGCGTCCGCCCACAGAGTCCCGTTGGATCACACGTTCAGAGACCTACCTATGCTAGCAGCATCTATACACTGTGACCGCATTAGGGTGACGTGCTCCTCTCCTGAGTGCCCTCCATCATCTCACAGACCAGAGGAAGGCGGTGTGGGTCACTAAAAGGCTCTGCCTCTGCTTAAACCTTTTCCAACCTGGTTTAATACTGCGGCGTGGCCTCTTTGGCAGCAAAGGTAGTAGAAAGCTTTAACATGTTTTATTTGGTGCCTAAGTTTGACTTTTGACCTCCAACGATGAGACTGCATGTGTCTGCATAACCCGCTTCATAGATGTCATCCAAAAGCTGATCTGTAAAAAGCATCCAGTAATTAAAGTGTTAAAAAGGACACTTAATCAAAAAGAAAATACCTCTTTGAAAGACCAATGTATTTTTACCTCACTGTATATATTCCTGATTTGTTTACTCCGACTTTGCAATTGATCTGTTTTTGTTTCTATGAAATGCTTAAAGATGATTGGTTTCTTCTTTTTCACTTTTCTGTCACATGGCGCTGTAATGTGTTAGTGTTGTGAGCGAGCAGTATACTCTCCTTCCTCTGTTACCGTGCTCTGTGTGACCTGTCGCTTGTGTTCTGCGTGAACTGTATAGTCGATGCGCTTTACAAGTGTCCACGCCCTCTTCTGGTTACAAACGCCTTGTTCGGTATGGTTTTGTTTTTTTGTTGAACAAAGGAGGAAAAAAAGTGGAAGTGGGACGCTGGGAGAGTGGGGTGAGACTGTTGAGCAGAAACCCCTGAACTGTGGAGGTCGCCTCAAAACTCTCTGGATTTCTAGACGTATATTATAATCTTGAAATGTTTATATAGTGTGGAGAGATGAATGAGAGGTCAGCATAGAGCTAGAGGATAGACACATGTTAACTTCTAACGTAGCTGGAGTAGAAAGTGGTGTGAATAAAGCAACCCTGTTTCACTATCACGTTTGTTTTTCAGCTTTATTTGAATGCTGCACACTCGGCACTAACAGCACGTGGAACACATTTAAAGAGCGCCATCACGATTATGTCTAAATGCATGCTCGACCATCCAGGCGAGGACATCCCCAAAGGTTGATCCTGTTCATGTGGACGTAGCGTGACTTGGGTTTCCCCAACCGTACAAACA